TCATATGCTTCGTTGATCTGATTGGTTTATTTGGCCCGTCTATCACCAACATAGGCCAATCAGCTAACCAGTATTTTTTCGCCCCTTCCCAAAATTACTTCAACGGAAGGTTTCCAGATGGATATGCGGAGCAAATCCATCTGGTGGAGTCAGGTTAATCAAAAATGTCTGAAAACAGTACAGCTGCGCTGCTTAATGATGTAATATTGGAGCCTGTTGGATGATAATAAAAGTTTATTTATTGCGCAGTATTCATGTGAATTTCATCTTTGATTTTAAATCTATTAGAAATGCACTTCAGTTATTCAAACAATATCAAATTTTAGAAAAAAAAAAATAGAGATTACATCTTAGAATACAAAAATACAATAAGGGAGATTTTAAAAATGCAAAAAGTCTCACGCTGAAACACAAAGAGACATCTACAAAAAAAACGGATATAATACAGCATTAATAATCCATCAGTTAGCAAAAGTTTTCAAAATATCAAAAGGAAACTATGGTGGATGGATCAATGATTATTCAGATAATTAAAAACATACATGCGACTGAACTCTGTTATAGATAAATGATATAAAAGCCGGTATATAGCTTCTATTTCAGACTCTCTAAAAAAAAACATGTATTTACAGAAGAGGGGGAACAATTTCATACAGATTACATTCATTTAAAGTCAAATGCATTTGTGCTCCGCTGGCTCAATGAGAAACATTAAATATCAAATTTTAGATGTAATAATATTACATTCTGCTATGACCATCCTCAATACAGAACATATCAAAGATAACGCCTTATAATTCACTTTGGAGTGTTCACCTTACTTTCATTTACTTTGTTACAGTAACAGAACTCACTTTTCATCTACATTCACCCAGTGAAATAAAATGCTCCTAAAACAAAATAAGCCGTCTCAGAAAGACTGGCTGTAGTAACGCACGAGGATCGATAAACTTACACTACTACCCCCCCTAAAAAACGATGGTGCTGCTTTGAGAACATGAACACGCTCCTGGTTTTTGCAGCTTTTAGTCGAAGGACATCATTGATACACTGAACAATATACCGTTTATGCTTTGGATGCATTTCTTTACACGTTGGAAAAAAACCACAGAGGTGAAAACAAAAATTTTTTTAGAGATATGCAAGATGAGCATTTTTTATTTAAATTCAGACAAAAATGAGCATACAGCATGTGCATATCAAGATCCGAAAGTACCACAATGACAAAAAATGTACGTAACGAAAAACTATTTGTAAAATATCTGCATATATAAAATGATATATGAAATGTGAATAAGGAAAATAATTAAATTCTTTGGTTATTTTTAAGTTAAAAGCATCTAGAAGGACTTTTTATGCATCTTTATTTTATTTTTGTGTTGCCGGTTTGCGGCTGAGTTGCAGTGCGAGTCAGCCAATCAGATGTTCGATCTGTTAGAGAGTGATTCCCAAACGTTTTTCAGCATATAACCCCCCAAAAAATAACAATGCAACAAACTGGCAGGTAATTCCCTAAAAAAAAAAA